ACAAAAGAACTCGAATACAAAGACACCATCAGAAGATAACTAGTCTCACAATCTTTGCATGCACTACACGAGCATGAGCCATAGCTCGAACGATTTTCACAAACTACAAATCCAAGTATTGTATCTGTCCATTTGTACAAGTAGCAAATTTTCTTTAGAAGGTGTATTTATAAAGTACTCTAATCTCTTTTTGATAAATATATATTTGGCTAAGACTTTGAAACAATATCAAGCTGTTCAACAGGAAACAATATAAGATGTGCAATTTTTAAGTGGGAACCGAGATGTTTACAGAAGCTATAGCATCTCATATCAAGTATGTTTGGTAAATTATTTTGTAGTTAGAAGTTGTGGGTCCTACAGATGTGTGAATCAACAACTTGGACAGTAAAAGAACAAAGTTTTGCAACTGAAGAGCTTGCACGAGAACATTGATTTAGGAAGTCTTGTCTCCTTAGATTTTGCGCAGAAAAACAGTAAAATATGTATGTACTGTAGTAAGGACATGGGCGATAGTTGCACCTAGAAAAGCCAAGAGAGCCCAAGGAATGCGAAAATATTTGCCCATCCATTCAGCCGTCCAGGCACTCTATCCTGGAAATGTTTTTCAATATGATACATAGCATGTGCATATGCATGAGCATCAGGTTCCAAATCATTAGCCATCTTGTTAAAGAGTTATGCCAATTGTTCGTCACTGTCTAATTTGTTGATAAGAATTATTTTCCCCATGAGGAGCTCTTTAACATCATCAGGATGATCAATGAGTGAACCACTAGACAAATATATGACGTAATACGCAAATCAGAAGGGCAATGGGGACCAATTTCATAAGCAACAAGTTTAATAGAATAGGTTTTGTTAAATTAGTTACCATGATTGGAGGAAGTGTAAGAGTACCATAAATAAGGTGAGATTTGAATTCTACATCAGTAAAATTTCCAGTTTGGCTTGGTTTGAAATGAATTCCTGCTGATTTGATCTCAGTTACTGAACGATACGATTCCCAATTGAACAATGAGCTCTAGTTTGAGTCT